ACACTTGTGGGATCTTTCACCTCGCCCTTTTCCATCTTCTAAAAGCATGAAAGAAAGGTGAGGGTCACATTCATGAAATAGAAAAGGGTTAAATGTGAGAACAAAAGTATTACAAAGTCCAAGATGTTGTCCACCATTACTTCTGGTGCAGTTAAGAGGTCCTGATCTGTTGGTTCACCGATATCACTAGAATTCAGGTTGTCGGTTTCCATTGGCACTGAAAACCCATCGAGAGGTTCGCCGCCAGTGGACATGACTCATTGAGTGAAAGTTATTTTATTTCTGATGAGATATACGTATACTCCCCTGCCATTAATCACCAGACGTTTATCAAATTCGAAAGTAATCGGCAAAGGTACGAAATTTTTTTTTTCCCATTTCCGGAAAACTCACATAATATTTAATCGAAAAAAATTTTTATTTAGGCACTAAACATGTGTTCTATTTATTTATACGCTTAATATTTCGTGGGATTGCCGTTTGAAGTTTTAACAGCCTCAACACGACGAGGCATACTTTCTACTAAATTGCGGTAAGTTAATTCATTTATCTGAGACCACTCTTCTGACAAAAAAGTAAATAATTCTTCTTCACTAGATGGTAACGGATTTCTCCTACGGATTCGATGTTCTAACTCATCCCAAAGATGTTCAATGGGATTGAGATCCGGACTCTGGGAGGGCCATGGAATGCAAGTAATATTTTTTTCTTCTTTCCATTTTGTTACGATATGTGCTTGATGTGTTGGGCAGTTGTCGTCTTGAAATATATAATTATTTTGTTCTGAAAGGATTTCTAAGAATGGTAATAAACTATTATTAAGAACTTCTATATAATTTTTTGCAGTTTGACGTCCACTAATTTTTACTAATGAACCTAAGCCACTCGCGGTGAAACATCCCCAAACCATAACTCCTCTTCTACCCGATTTAAAAGTTGGCACAAGGCAATCTACGTCATATTTCTCTTTCGGTAATTGTCAAACGTAACTATGACCGTCACCTCCAAATACCTCGAAGCGAGATTCGTCACTCCAAATAATAAAATTCCACTCAGAAGTCCAATTTAACCTTTCGATCACCCAATTTTTACAGATGAGTCTATTTTTTTCTTTAACAAATGGTTTTCGCTTGCCAACTCGAGCGTAATAGCCTATTTCGTGTAACTTTCATTGCAACGTATGCATGCTGACTTCAGTTGATGTTGATTGTATAAATTCGTTGCATAAAACACTTAGTGTAATTTTTCGATTTTTTTTAATAATTTGTAATAAGTGGCGAGTATCGCGGTCAGTTAGTTTAGCCGGTTTTCCTTTTCGAATGGGAGGCTTTACTTGACCAGTTTTTTTGTAATAGATAATAACATCATGAACCGTCGATTTTGGTATATTAAATGTTTTTACAATGGTGGGAGGTGAAGAACCACACTTCCAAGCACCTATTATCTGAAAACATTCGCTTTCAGATAACTCTTTACGTTTTTGTGCCATTGTGAAAGAATTTCAAGCACAAATGTAAAAAAAAATATCTCTTTTAAAAGCCCAGCTTTTGTTCATCTCGACAATGTAAAT